AAGGGTACAATTGCTACATTCCTGGGAGACAGTGTGTTGCAGAGGTGGGACTATACTATTATAACATTAAACAGCAAAGGTAAATAAGGTGAACATTAATTATTTATTCCTTAGGGGAAATATTTATGTAGCAGGTCCCCTAGATATTGGGTCATGTTGGCAACTCTCTATTTCATTCAGAAATAATATTGAGTGGCTATTAATTACAAAGTACTATGAAAGGATCTAGCAAAGATAACAAGAAGATCAAATACAGCCACTTTCAGCCAGGTATGTTCAGTTTACACACATGCAGTTTACAACTTAGTAACATTAAGAAAAAAAGTGTACACATTTAAACTTTTTGATAAATACCTAATGCATCATTATGATTAGGCTATTTACTATTTGTAAACACACACATACGCATATATGTGTATATTTATAGTGTGAATGTTTATAGTGTGTATATATGTGTATATATGCACATATATACATATATGTAGGATATGTGTGTTTATATAGTATATATATAGTGGGTATATATATTCTATATGTGTGTACTATATACTATATATACACACATATACACCTGTATAGTATATGTATATGCATACACACATAAATATCTTTGAATATAGATTAGTAAGTAGGTAGGTAGACAGATTTAAATGGCATATAGCTTAATGATAATAAAGTGTTAGATAATAATAGGAAAGTAATGGAAGTTACAGATAGAAATATAGGCAGTGACTTAAGTATTATGTCTCTTAAAAATGGAGTTTTTAAACAGTGTTCAGCATTATTTGGGATTCAACAGACCTAATTTTGAATGACGATGTGTCATTCTAAAATAGCAGTATAATTTAATACAAAAATCAAATGACAAATACCTCTCTTTGCCTTACACATTCATTTGGCTAACATAGAAGAGGAGAGCTATAAAAATATTTAAGATTTTCAGATATTCTTTTCATAAAATTCAAAGTGTATGTGGAAAGCATTTCCAGAATTGTGAAGTAAAAAACCTCCAAGTATCTTATTCTCAATAAAAACAACAAGAACACTGGCAAAATTTTCAAAAACAACTTTTTAAA